CTATTACTCAGTGCATTCAGGGATTAGCTGGACTTGAAGTGTGGGGCGATTCTGCGTCTCCCTGCTCCTCGCCCCTTGGAAAGGGGAGAGGGGAGAAGCGCCCCCTCGGTCGCACCCCCCCCGTCCCCCCTCCCGGTTCGTCCCAGAGCGCAGCAACTTGGAGCTCCCAAGCGAGCGAGTTCTTAGCGTGTCAGGCCGCACAATGCGGGGCTAATTCCTGCTGCAAAAGGCAAGTGGTGAAGAATCAATCGCGGGCTTTATACAATCAAAAGGGATGATGGGCTTGGGGTTGCGAATTTTCTTTTTTTTTTTTTTTAAGTTCCCTGCCCCAGTCTGAGTTTCTCCTGCTCCTTACCCTCGTCCTATTAATAATCCCATGCAGGCGATTGCAGACCGAGGTAAAGCTATCATTTGTATGCGCCTGAAGATTAATTTCCCCCATGTACCAACTCAACGGCATAGTTATCTCTTTAACAGGGAAAACAGTTTGGCTCCATTGTCGGGTTGCCAAGACCGCCTTTTGAGAAAGGGAGCCCGGCTAGCCTCTGATCAAACTCAAAGGTTAGTTAAAAGACAAAAACAGCTGAAAATCTTCATGAATAATGCTGTTTCCCCGAGCCCAGTATAGTGCAAGCGCACATTTCAATGCCAGAGCATTTTGTTATGCTGCTCGCCTAAGTCAGAATTTCACAGAAAAGGCAGAGAAGAAAAGCTCCAACAATTAGAGGGGGCCTGTCAGAAAACATTAACGCCTTCCTCGCCCAGCCTGTCAAGCGTGCTGGAAATAAAAAACGGGCATAGCGAATCGCACCTCCACCCTCCGGAGCTGCAGGAGGGAGAGGGAGGCGGGGTTAGAGACAGAGAAGTAAAGAGAGAGAGAGACAAATGGACAGGCCCAGGCAGTTAACAGTCCCCCTCGGCTTTGCAGTTCATCCAAAAGCTGGAAAAAGAAGGGGAAAGGACCTGCAGCTGGATGTTCTCGCTTGATATTCATCCTTCTGTTTCATGTTCCAGAATTAGATTTGTTCTCGGGAGCACTGCACACACACACACACACACACACATGCACGCACTCACACCATCCCTTTACACCTTCAATCCTTTCCTGCAAAGCACGAAGTACCTGGTGAAACAGCAGCCCAGCAGAGCTGTTACCACTTTCTGCTTTCTTCTCCCTCCAGCCTCATTTCTGAGCTTCCATGTCTGTAACCGTGCAGATGCATGGTGCAGCCAACCTGCAGCTGGGCTGAAGGACTTCATGTCAGAGCTGTGCTTATGTATAGCACAGAGCTGTCTTACTCTTTAGAATGTTTTAGGAAAATGTGTTTCAAATGTACAGTTTTAACTAGACAGATCAGCTACCCATATGCTTGAGTCCTTTTCCCAAGTTAAATACCTACTGACAAGGACACTAAAATATTTAAATCTTCCCCTGCACTGATGCTGATTTCTGTAAGTGAACATCTAGACTTTGACTTTCCTGGCCAAAGCACAGAGTTTTACCGGTCATTTAAATAACAAGAGAGCTCTGGTTCATCTCTTACTGTGAGCAAAACCTCACACCATCACTTAAATTCTTTTTTTTTTCTTTTGCCCTTGTTGCCTTTGTTGTCTTATTGCAAATACATGTATATGTTAATAACTGATAAGGAGCAGATCAGCACTGAGCAGCTTCTCTATTCAGCCTTCTGCTGGGTGGGATAGAATGGGGGAGATTGCTGCTATGCATTGTAGTATTCATATGGGGGTTGGAAAAAATGAAATTCCAGCAATATACAAAGTGACTGAAGTAAAGGAGTACCTCCAACCATCCAATCTGAGGTGTTCCAGGGATTATATCTCTAAAGGGATTCAGCAACACAGCATGTGAAATACATCAGATTGTCCATGGTTAGAGAGATGTGTGATTCCTATACATCCTGTGGGGAGGAAACTCTAGCCTTGGGGACAGGAACCCCAGCCCTCCATCCCATACACACCCTGGAGCAGCACAGTACATCCAGGTGAAATGGTACTACTTGCTGGTGTCCTTCAGAGAAGGCAGGGATCTCCTTTGGCTTTGGAGCCAGATATGTCCCTTGAAGGAAAAAAAGCCTCGCAGAGCGCTGGGATTTTCACTGGCTCTGACGCTTCTGTCCTGGAGAAACACAAGCAACCGGCAGGAGAGGGGAGAAGTTTCAAGAGATACTTTTTCTCCCTTTATCTGGCTACCTATTACCTACTATTCTAATGACAGAGGCGTAATATGGGTAAAAATGCAGGCATGGGAAGCTAAGGGCATCAATTATGGACTGAAGCTATCTAGATTCATTGCTGACTATGACTTTGTCCTGACTAATCCATTTTAACCTGAGATCTGCAAGTGCTAAACAGAGATCATAAGATGCTCCTCACAGATGCCTGGGGATATGCAGCATTGGGAGAACATGAGAAAACTGGCAAGAGCAAGGGGACCTCTGACCCAGACCCTGCTTTGTGCAAGGTGCTGTGGGAAGAGCCTATGCACACTAATAATCTGCTTCATTTTTCTGGGAAACAAGCAACCTGTGTTTCCTTTCATCCCACTGCAAGCAGGATTCAGTGCAGTTTTTGGTCTTTGTCTTCTACCCAGAAAAGGACAGCTACATATCCTAAAACATCAGAGTAAATATCCATGTGTTGTCCAATATGTTACCTGTAAATTATTTAGGAGTATAATTCCTTTGAAAATGTCACCCACCAAGCTATGTATTTCAATCTTCTCTTAGACCCTGTCAACAGCTACAGCAGTCAGTTGCAAAGTTTTCTGCTGGTCACTGCTGCTTTGCACAAACATGTAGCTTTCTTGCTTTCTGCTTCTATATATTCCCAATAGCACAGGGGAAGGAAAGGTAAATTTCACAAAGACCCCCTGCAACTGGCCCCAGTGGCATAATCCAGGCCTCTGCTCTAGCGGAGGCAATTGTCTTCCTAAATGGAGCTCAAACTCATTTGGTCCAATTTCACAGAAGCAGATCACAGAAAGAGTACGGGTTCCTGTTCTGGGATGGGGTCCTCCTCCCTCCCCATCAGTCACACCACGCTCTTTCTCACTCTCCCCTCCTGCTGCTGGTCACAGCTTGGAGCTATTTTAATTTGCACTTGCTGGACTGGTAGGGCTATATTGGTCTGGAACAGGAAAGGAAAAGCCCCATATTAGTAAAGTGTGAAATGCAGTTTTGACTGAACAAGGAAGCCATTTCGACATGATTATACCGTGACAGTGCAGATTAAAACCCTGCCATATGGCCTAAGATAGGTTTGTTCTTACTTTCAGGTAACAACACATTGCTAATTAAGTGGTGATGACATATTCAAATGAAAAAGAAAAAAAGAAAAAGAAAAGCCACCTGTATGTGAAATAAAGACAGTCAAGAGAAGGGAAGACATCAATCGGTACTCATAATAGTGGAAATCAGCTCTCTTTATCATTGTGGTCTGCTCTGAATAGGAAAGAATTTGTTTGATTTGTTATTGAGTAAACAATAATTCATGTGTGCACTTGCAGATGTGAACACAGTGCTCCTGAAAGGCACCCGCCTGACAGTGCTGGAGAGCAAAGTCCTGCATCACATCCAGGACAAACACAGCCTGGGCAACAGCACAGAGAGGTTCCCCACCCTGCAAGAGGGTCATGGAGGTTTCCCTGAGCAGGGCAGGAAGCCAGCCCACCTCCCAAGTGGCAGTCACATTTAGGGACCTACTTTAGTCTCTCTCTGTGCAGAAGATCTTTGCTTTTGCTTCTCAGGGGATGCAGCAGCAAATGATGGTAGGACCAGCTGACACAAAACCTACAGTCCTGCTACATCCACTACTGTGTCTCTGTGGGATATCACTAGCTTTAAGAGAACAAATGGAAAAGTAATAGACTGTTGGTTTACAAGCAAAGGGTCACTTTACCCACTAATAACCAGCCCTTTGAGACTTTCAGATGAAGGGCATTCTTTAAAGACCCAAGATTTTACTTGCAGTTTCTTTTACTTGCACATATAAACGTGTATATATTCCTCTGTGCCATACAGACTCCATTTGGAGCAGCTGATCCCGAAGTCTGGAACAACAGGCAGTGGGACACATTTTGCTTCATCTTGTTTTATGTTTCACAGCAAACCTCATTTTAGGTTGCTCTAATGCACATCATGTGGGCCTGCCTGGTTATGAGCTCTGACTTAGGAAGGACAATTTCAGTAACTATCCTGTCAAGCAGGAGGCATTGAAAAAAAAAACCAAAAACCAAAGAGGCACAACCTCCATACTTCCACCTCTTCCCGACTGTTGCTGCTCAGATGAGCTCCAGAGCTTCACGTGGTTCTCACAGATATTGCATGCTCAATGATTTGAAGTTGGAATTCAGCAACCAATTAAGGTTCTAGACAGATGTAAATCCATGGATGGGCCTGGCAGAACTTTATACTTTCTGCTCTCAATTTTTTGCTTCCTTCTCTTCTACCTCTTTGACCTCACACTTCTCATATCTGGGAGATTAAGAGTTATGCTTGAACCGGCTTCCAGGGTAAATACCCATTTGCAAACATCTTCACATAGGCATTCCCACATCTCTCACTAGCACTGTATATTGAGAACAACTGTGGGTTGGAAGGAGACCAGGAAACCAAGAAGAAAGCACAGATGAAGCCTTCAGAAGTATCTTATAACAGGTACTACCTACCTGAATCCCAAATGCCCCTGGTCTTCACCAAGATTTGGCTTCTGCCCCTTAGGGACTTACTGGTGAGGATGGTGGCCAACTTCTGCCTCTGAGGCCAGCAAACCTGTAGAAAATAATGCTGGGTACAAATGCTGACAATCGTTTCTACAAGTGCAGAAAGGAGGATGGCATGAACCTGCAGTGTCAGAGGATGCAGTGTAAGATGCTGTGGTGGAAAGTCACAGAAATCATGTCAGGGAGAGGGGGCCCTAGCAAACTGCAGTGCTGTGTGTACAGCACAGGGCAAGGTTCTGATGTGTAAAATGGGAGCATATAGAAAGAGCAATGCTGAGAAGATCCTCCTGACACCAGGCACTGCCAGCCCCAGACTATTCCATAGCAGCCAGCAGCACCCCAGGCTCTTGCAGGTCCCTCTTCTTGTGTTCATGTATATGTCAGTAGAGATGTGTTTGTGCAAGCAGAAAAGCTTGTAGAGAGGACTTTCAGGAGTGTGAAACAAACACAGGAGGATAATGGCTTTATCCTTAATTCAGCTACTTGGTCTCTTTCTGAAGGCAGGCGTATTTTCAATATATTTTCACCTTCTCCGAGACCCTGTGGCAATCACTATGGAGAAATTACAAGGTACAGACAAACAGAAACAAATAGCTCCTGGAGAAAGCAGTGAGCAAACCTCCTTCCCTCCTCCCCTACTCCAAGTTAAATGTCAGAAGACCACTGCAGCCCCAGGGCAGGTGACAATGACAGATCCAAGAGGGGCACTTTGCTCAGTCTGGGTTGTCCCTTGGCTTCCCTGCATGGCCAACCCCCGTCTTCTTGGCACTTCACTTTTAGTTACCACTAAGCCTCTCTCTCTGTGTGGGGAGCTGCTACTGACCAACAGAGCATTTATAAATAGAACAATGTTTAATTAACACAACAGTAGGACAGACTTGTTGAAATACTTCCCAGACAGCAGGCAAGAGTCCTGACAAGGAGACTATTATGGGAATTTTAATGAATTCTTCCAGAGTGGGACAGCTTCCATACACCTATACATTGCAATGACTAATTTTGTTTGTGAAAATTGCATTGGTAAATGATGCAGAGTGACAATAACTTTGGGGACCAGCAAACTGAATAAAGTCACTGGGTGACTGTGTGAAATACTGCCTACAGACAGAGCAGAGTGCTTACTAAATGCAGTGCAGTCATGGGTCCGAGTGCCCAAAAGCCCAGCTACAAATGGAGTTTGCATAAGGCAGGCAAAGAAGCAATTAAATAAGCCAAACAAGGATCTAGCTGTGCCAGATGACACCACAGCATGAAAAGAAGCAGGGGCTGAGCAACTACTTGTGTGAGACACAACCAGGAGCATGTGCCTTATTAACACCACTGTTAAATGCATGCTGCATTCCTGCTAGCTGCTGCTGCTGTAATTGAGACCACTCACAGATATCCTTGCCATCTCCCTTTCTAAGAAAACAGGAAATTAAAATGGTCTGCCCCAGTGCTGGGCCTGTGTGAAATTCCCCCCCTGTGATACAGCAGCCCACCTCTTCTATCAGGGATGTGAGAAATGTGAATCAGGGGGCACTGGAGGGACAAGGTGTACAATGTCAGTGCATTCCCTTGAGCTCACCTCCTCCTAGCTCTGTAAACTTTTCTTACTCCTCTAGCAGAGACATCGTACACCATCAGTAACCCAGGGGCTGTAATCAATAAGTACTAACGAGCTCAGAATTTCAGAAAGAGCTTTTAATCCTTAAAAATCTTAAGAAACAAAGCTCCCAGGAAGACAGTCTGCAATGAAAAATGCGTTATACTCAAATTTTCCAGTTCAGCTCTCTGCTGCGGTGCCGTATGAACAGCAGCCACAGCAAGGGACTCTCTGCAGGCCCTGTTCTTCTGACTTCGTTGTTATACATCTGAGGTTCTTTTCCCCCAAAGATCTAGATTTTAATGAATGGATCCAAGATATGCCTTATCTATCCAGGGAGTCTGGGCACCACCAGTTATCTTCATTGATTTTGCCTTTTTCTCTTCCTTACAGACACGTCATATTTTTTTCTGGAGTATAACAAATTAGTTGAACGCACATTGACTACTGAAACATGTTGTAATGCATTCCAAACAAAACACTGTTGGAAGGTAAGCTTGGAACAGAAGTGTATGCCAGAATAGTAAGAAGAGCAGTAAAATAAAGATTTTGGTGCATTACTTCAAAAATACAGGAAGAAAATCATCTCTGAATTGTTGGGGATGACAACAACGTACACAAGGCTGACAAAGAAAGTCAACAATATTATTTCTCAAAACTTCAGTAACACACAAGGATTTCACAGAACTGGAGTCAAACTTTGTAAACTGCTTACCATAAGCTTTGGTTTGCTGAGGAAAAGATTTGAGGAAGGAGAGAATAAATTCTTCCTACTGCTACAGATGCTGCATTCAGAGGTGCAGGTTGCAAAAACATTGATTAATTTTTATCCACACGCATCTGTTTCCTGTTGAATTCTTCCTTTTGCATAATGTGGAGCCTTGCCTGTCAGATTAACGCAATGCTTCACCCCCAGACAAAAGTGCTGGCCTCTGACAAATCCATCTAGAGCACACCTAGCTCCATCGGTGGGCATATTATAAAAGGTAATGAGCTTGACACCCCCCAGCTCCAGCTGCTGCAGCAGCGTGTAATGAGCCCTGCTCTATGGGCTCCGACACTCGCACTAAAACGCCATTGAGAACTGAGACAGCATGCCACTGAATTTAATTTACTGCTTAGCATTAGCTGGCCCCAGATGATGGAAGGTCATCTGTATGGAGGGTCAAGTGGGATAACAGCTCCAAATCTCCCTTCTGCCCAAGGGCTCGGAGCTGGTAAGCCCCAGGGCAAGCAGGCACAGACCTGATGGGGGCATGTTGGCTGAGCAGGCAGATTCCTTCGGAGCATCTGCTCTCCCAGATGAGGAATTCCTCCCATTGACCACATCCCACCAGCATTTTCACAGAAATTTTGGGAAAATCCAATGCAATAGACCAGGTTCCTTGGAGGAGTTAGTCTGCCATTGTAGGTATTTCTTTTCTGATGGAGTAACTTTCCAACTTTCATAACAACACATCAGACTGTATTTTGTTTGTAAGGTATCAAGAATGTTCAGATCATAAAGTACCATCACTCTGTTTCAAGAAAGCGAGGCTGAAGAGAAGGTTTGAATAGCCCAGAAAGGGTCAATGCCAGAGGTAGAAGGAAAAAATAACAAAAGGGAAGGACATGGTGATGCTACCTTCAGTGTAGTGCAGCTCAAGCATGTGAGGAGCCAAGGCAGTGATACTGTATTTAATTCCTCCCAGAGATCTTTTTTTCTGCCATACCATAAATATGCTGTAAGTGACTCTAAGCTTTGGATGTATATAAAACTAATCCAAATCAATGAGAAAATTTAAAAGATTCATTTGTTATGTTCAGCCTAACGGCTGGATCTGCCTCTGCTGAGACACTAGCAAGTCATCCCATGCTACAGAAGATTATGATCTTGGGAGAGAAGGACAGAGAAATGCAGGTCTGGAAGGGAAGAGGGTCTATTTCCCTCTGAGAAGATGAGAAATGCTCTTTTAAGGCTGTCCCAGACTTAAACTCAGAGATGTGACTATGCAGTAAGAAACAGCACAGCCAGATTCAGGCCTCTGAAAGGCGTAAAGATGCTAATGGGGATGGGGGCCTGGGGCATGGTATGCTCCAGGCAATTTCTGCATCTGCTCTTCAAAGATACAGCTACTGAATCCAATGAGACCACCTGAGGAGTAGGAAACCTTCCTGAGAGAGCAACACAGGCAGAATCAGACCCCCAGGGAGTGTAATATGGGTCTTTATAACTTTGCCTCACTGTGTGATGGTAGATTTCTCGCTGGCTTCTTTGCCTGCACACCCGCCTGCGTGTCTGTACTGGCAGTGCGTGCACTTGGTTTGATGCAGCCCTTACATGTGCATGTTCTTCTTGTTCACAGGACACCAGGGGCTTGGGACAGGCCACAGACACACACTTGGGGCTGGCAGGACCCAAAGACAGAGCTGCACAGCTATCTCCATGTGGGCAGGCTGTGTGGCACAAAGACAGGTACCATCGCTCTGCCTGCATACTGGTGCTGCACAGACATATTTATGCCCCAAATGTTTTCCTTTCTTTAGATATTGCCACCTCTTCCAGTGCAGACAAAGACCTGTTGTGAGGCTATGCTCCTTTTTTGTGCAGATGACAGGTGGGAAAGGAGGTTTGATATAAATATACCCTGGTCTGAAGTGGATCGGGAGCAAGATCTGGCCTAATTTTCCACCCTGAGCAAACAATTTTGCTTTGCTCAATAATTTTTCTAAAAAGAATAAGCTCAATTAAGAAAACCACAACAGCACAACTTTTAAAAAATACCATTGTTATTGTTCATGTGGGTTTTGGGTGGGCTGTGGAAATTGATTTACGAGTCAACCACTTTTCTCTTTTCTTGCCATCTCTCGCTTGAGTGGTTTGTAGGCCTTGGCCCTTTCTTTCACTCAAGGAGAATAAGGTTGTCTATGGAAGAGGTCAGCATTTCAAATTGGTGGAGTTCAACTGCACAAATGACATAGAACTGACAAGAAAAGACAGGGGGTTTGGAGGTCATAGACTGCATAGGTCCTGGTTAGGGTTTTCGCTTTGTGATGGGACCTGGCACCAAAATGAATTAAATAACAGGCTTAAGGACTATTGAGGGAGGGCTGAATGCAAATCAAAGATAAGTAGAAGTTTTCTTTCCTAAAAGGGGAATAATTTTTTTTCCTTACCTCCCCCTTTCCATATCTGCGCAGGCAAGGTCTGCATGTTAAACATGATTTAGCAGGCATTATTCTGGAGCCTTTTCATCAGGTTTCTGCAGTGATTGCCTATCTTGGCCTATGATTAATGATCTGCTGTGCAATTTGGAGGCTATAATGACTCAACAATCCACACACAAACTATATAGTCGCATTCCTTTTGCAGATTTGCCAAGCTGTTACCAAGGGGCCCACAACCAAGCAGGATTGTTAGAGAGATAGCTAAACATTTCTGCAAATGCCATTCTGCCCTTATCTTGCTGAGAAGTGCGTTGGGTAGCGGGCTCATTTACAAAATTCAAAGCCTAGATTTTAGCGGTTCCTTTAAAAAAAAAGAAAAACCTGGACTGAAATAATCATTAAAAAGGCTGGTAAGAAAAGATCCTGGTATATGGCCTCTCAGTGATTATACAGACAAAATACTTTCTTTGTTTCCAAATTTTGAATCTGATTAATTGATGCCTAATGCTATTAATGCAGTTTGAAAGCAAAAAAGTTAATCTTTGGAAACCCATGCTATAAATGAAATCTGAAAATCTAAGCAGATTTTGAAGTGAAAGCTTTGTCTCCGTTTCAGTTTCAGAAATAGGCTATGGGATTTATTTATAGACTTCAACTGGATCTGTATCCAGTTAAAAACTGTCTGTAGAAAACTGCTCTACAAACTTTTTTTTCAAAGCATGGGCCTTGATAATAATGATTTTGGAAAATCTAGCTTCTGTTTATAAGGTTGTTTTGAATAAAAGTAAATATAGAAAGGAAAAGTGAAGACAACTACTAATGGAGTCTGTCTTTCAGACATAAGTTATCTTCCAAAAAATAATTTTAGGATAATATAAATATGTTCCTGTTTCCATTGTTAGTTATTACATGAAGCCCAAATAATTCTGCCACGACCAAAAAGAGTTCTCATATTAGCTGGGTTGCAGTCACATACAGTTTAATAATTCATCTAGTTTTAGTTTCTGTCTGTCTTTTTTGTGGGCAAGAGGGATTGAGAACTAGAGGGGCAATATAGCATGTCCATGCACCTATGTCCATCCATGTCCATGCTATTGCTATTGTTGCAGTTGTTTTTATTATTATTATTATTAAAGTGATTGGGAGCTTTAAACACTGTGCTAATATTGAAGCCTCATAACAACACTGAGTCCCACAAAGAACTTTGTCTCCTAGTCCAGTACATAATGCCCTGAGATCCTGAATGCAGAGAGGCTTCATGATCCCAGATTTAAGTACAAGTGTAAGTGATTCTCTGCATCCAGGTTTAAGCAAATTAATCAGGGTTTACTTTATGTCCAGAGTGAAGACAGAGAAGTCCTCAAGCCTTTGGGAAGAAGGCCTTTTAGATTCCACTGTAGGTAACAAACCTCAGAGCCCAATGTGTTAGAGAACACCTGTTTAAAAAAATGCTACATTTTTAACACTGTAACAAAAACAAGAAAAATATAATATGCAGCTTGAAGACTTGGAGCAGTTACAGTTCCTTATTCCTTTCCTACTGATAGGGGAGAGGAGTAAGAAACATCCAGCTACAAATGTAAGCAAGCAAAGCAGCATTTACCCTCTCTTTATCCAGAATTTCATCCTTATGCCAAGAGTCAACCCACAGCTATGCACTGTGGATGCCCTACTGTTTTATAGGTTTTAAACTAATCTTTGCCTCAAATATGTACATAAATAAATAAAATTAGCTGTGAGCAGTCTGCTGTACAGCCATGATAGTGTTGCTGTGCGTATAAGTCTATTAATCTCTGAATGGTTGTGTAGCTGACTCTGCCTTCAGGGCAAAGGATTGGACTAGATGAGGGTCAACAACCTTTTAGTGATGCTTTTCTAGTCTGAGGTTAATCAGCCCCAAAGTGGGGGTTAGGCAGGACAGAGACCACTGTTAGCTGGAAGATACTGCCTCAGAGAGGTAAAAGGCTGCTGCAGTGGGATCATTGGCCTGTGTGAGACAACCACCCTCCTGACCCAGGAGATGAAGCAAAGGCAGCAGCAGGGAGCCCTTTCACTCTCAGCACACCACGGCCTCTGGCTCTCAGTCTTGCCTGTGCCTCTGAAAATCAGTGACTGTCCTCTCGGGTAGATGGTGTCTCCAAGTCTGTTTGGGACTCCTTTGACTTCACTGAAGTCAGGAGGCAACAAAAGTATGCAATTTCCATACAATAAAAATAGGGTCAGAGCAGGCCTATACAGAGGAAATATTTCATCTGGGAGCCCACAGATGATTCTGAGAAAGATGAAAAAATCGACAAAAAATTAATTCGAATTTAGAAGCATCTTTGGTTGCTTCCTCGGGATGTTCACATCCATATGAATAACTTGGATGGGAATAAGGCAAGAGTCCCCACTGGTATCAGACCTTCACCATCCTCTGTATAGGATGGCACTAAGAGGGATACAGTGTCTTCACTAGAGCCACGTCCTTGGCTTTTCTACTGGAACCAGCTGTTAGAGATGTGGGATGTGCTTCCTGGGAGATAGCCAACTGCCTGCTGAGCAGTGTGATGAGCTCAACCTTATTTCACACCTCTCACCCTCTCTGTTTCTTTAGTTACCTTAATTTGAACTGTTGCTTAAAGGTGAACTGGATGGAGTTTCCAGAGGTCTGGGTGGCTGAAGACCATGGTGTCTGGGTATGCAAAA